GGTAAAAAAATACAAAGGAAGAATAAAACAGACAAAAATATTATAACATGCACACAAATAAATACTTAAAAATATAATAAAAAAATAAAGTTGAAGATTATAAAGGACAAAAAAATAAATAAGGTAAATATTACAAAGGCAAATAAATAAAGAAGTTAATTAAAAGAGTTATATACATTTATTTCTTACTGTATAATTAAATTTCTACTTACATTTATTTATTGTATTTTGGTGGCAATTAATTGTATGCTTATTTATTTATCTATTGAGCATTTATTTATTTCTGTATTAATTTTTAAATATGGCAGAGTTGGTCCTCCACAGTCCAGGGGTATCCTACCCCAAAAAAATTTGAAATTTAAACTCTCTAAAACACTATTTCCTGCATTTTGCGGTGGAATGCAGCAAACTTTTTGTCTTTTCACCACACTACATTTGTCATGATTTTGTGAAGTATGCGAGCTTGGCTAGAGGTGGTTTTTGATTCTTGTACACATTAAGGTTAGACATGCCTAAAGAGGATCTTTGTTTTTCCTGAATCGTGTCCAGTAAAGTGTGTACAGATGCATCTGATGCTTCTACTGCTCCTTTGTTCTATAGCAGAGTGGATTTTCTATATTTGCTGTGATCAGCTGGTAAAAAATAGTTTTAATAAGTGTTTTAAGTCCACCTCAAAACATTGTCTGTGCAGTCAGTTCACCAAGATTACGATCTTGCCTTAACATATTATGCTGTCTTAGGCTCTCTGATCCTCACATATTGATGATGTGCTGTCACTGGGAATCCCCAGCAGCAGCTGCCTCAGGCCATGTGGCCTCTTTTCGGCAAATAGAAGTAGACATATTTTGCTGGCAGGCTTAGATATTTTAAGTTAATTTACAGTAGGCATTAATAAACTGTTTCAGTGGAGTAATCATAGCGATCTCTATCAGCAGCGCTGTACATCTCCCTGCCACTTCCTAGATAAACGTCTCTGATTGATTGACGCGGCGCATCAAACAACAAAAATTTAATTTTTCCAACTCAGGATCTGCTGCTTGTGAAATTTTGATCATTTAAGCAAAGTTTCCAGGGGGAAAATTAGGGCGTAACAAAGCTGTACATATCAAAAACAGGGTTTAAAATGTGCCTTTTTTTATTAAAAGGGCATACAATATACTCCCTTATTCATTGCTAGCTAAATGCTTGCCTTTTACAGATCACCAGAAATAAAGACACTTAAACATAATACTCTTTTTAAACATACGAGTCAAAAGTTTTTTCCACCGTAGACTTCATTGTTTGAATTAGTCCATTTTGAGCTTGTATTGAATATCAGTTTATGTGATAAACTGATAGAGGTGATTCCAAATCCACTTTCAAAGATCGCTTTAAGCAATGGTGTTCCTCTTCATGGAGTTTGTTAATAACGCTCTGAAAGTTTACTTCTTGATTTTCAGCAGGATAGGTAGCTGGGAATTGTTGTACCTAACAGGGGTCTTTTTTTTATTTCCAGGCCAAGGACCCCCAAACTGATGGAGAGATGAAGCGGGAACCTCCTAATTATCTATATGTTGTATGAAATTGTCTTATATCAAGCTGGTCCTATAGTCACTCTATTACAGATGGAGTCATGTAACAAAGTAATTTCGCCCTGGGATTATTAAAGTATTTCTGATTCTGATTCCTCGTTGATGGGACAGGTGTTGTGAATGAGATGGTGTCCAGTTTGTGTGTGTCACTGAATGTGTGCATTGATGACTTAAAGATATCTTTTGCCTCCATGTATCTGTTTACTACAGTGTGTTGAATTCATGTTGATGTGGATTTAAAGACACGTCAATTAGTGGAAAAAAATTGCAGGGGGGAATATAAAACAAATGTCTAATCAACCAACATTATTGCTACCCCCTCACTGCCTCCAAATACACCCTAGAGGTCGCGGACTCCCTGTTGAGGACTGCCACCCTAGACTATTCTTCCACTACACTGTTGGTGATGTTCTGATTTGATGCTGTGGGATCCACACTGAGTGAAGATTTTGCATCCAAGGACAACCTAGAGGTCGCAGACTCCTTGTTGTCGACCTCCACCATAGGAGGCTTTTCTTCCATTATACTGTTGGTGATGTTCTGATTTGATGCTGTAGGATCCATACTGACTGAAGATTTTTCCTCCGAGGGCAAGCTAGAGGTCGCGGACTCCTTGTTGTCGACCTCCACCATAGGAGGCTTTTCTTCCATTATACTG